GCTGGTTGCTGTAGGTATCACCCAAGACAATGCACTATAAAATATCAAAAACAATTTATCACATCAATATAAGCAATTCATTTTTCATGTTTACTTTGGCAATTGCTCCCTATGATTATCCTTTCTAATTCCCATGGTAATGCAATGAGCCCCCTGCCATGTTAAGATTGATACTGTCTACATCCCATGCCAATGCCACGCATCCCCAAGTTATAACTGTTTACTACCCAATGTTAATACTGTATACTCCTCATTATCACCTTCTACTGCCCAGATGGTGAACCTTGAATGTCAATAATACTAACCCCTCTCAAAATAACATACTAAAAAGAGACTTTGTCGTGGTGAGAAATCTGAAAATAGTTCTAAAGATATCAAATACCATAGTGAATGATAAAAGTAATATAATAAGTTGATAGTTTTTAAAAGAACTGTTTTAAGTAAAGAGCACTAAGCCAATAGTTCTAAATTAAACAAAATGATGCATTTAATTTAGAACTATTGGGTTAGTGCTCTTTACTTACAACAGTTCTTTTAAGAACTATCAACTTTTTATATTACTTTTACCATTCACTATGGTATTTGATATCTTTAGAACTATTTTCAAATAACATACTGTCCATTGTCAACCTTCAACACATTCCCTTCGGTTAATATTTGACCATTACTTTGGCCTACCTTAAAGCACTTTTTGTTTCTTTCTCTGGCTCCTCCTTGAAATGAGAGATTATGAAAGCTTACATGAGTTAATTTGATTAAAAACAAAAAAATAACAATATTACAATATGGATGTTCTTTTAATATCACATATTAAGTAAATGGTTTGAACACTGAAGTATCAATTCATGTTTCTAGATATTGACTGCCCAAGTTAGTGGAGTCCTAAGAAGGACAATTAGTGTGTTCAACAGTCATTCTCAAGACCCACAAGCATGGATGATGTACAAAGACAAATATGTCAGTAGCACACCATTCTCTGAAACACTCCTTATGCAAGCTGATTTCAAATGTCTAATATTTCAATACTACATATAAATTTAAGCATCAATTTTACTTTTGCCACAGTGCATAAACAAACAGTAGTCCCACTCTATTGAATTTTTTTGTGTAGCACATATCTTATTATGCATGTGATTAGCATAGTGGCAACCAGTCAATTGTATTTTCTGATCAATAGAAGCGCTTTGGTGGCTAGCGGCAGCCAGTAATCTAAATTAAATATACAGCACAAAGTTGCACAGTGGAGTGAGACTACTGCTTGTTTTTATACTGAGCTTTTGCTGATATGGGTAATGAATGAAGAAGTAGATTCGTACCAGTACATAATCAGGTGCTCTATCCTCCTAAAAAATAAACATCATCTGATTAGTAAAAGATTACAGTTGTCATGGTGATGTGTAAGACAGAATGATATGCTAAAAGCGTTTTCATAGAATTATTTGTGTAAAATCCCGGAATCTCTCATTTAGTTAAAGTCGGGTTAGGGCTGTTGCTTTCTCAGGCGTCCTACCCCTTGAAAGACATAGCACATTTTACGTAGGTGCATACGTTACTTGCATTCACCCCCCAGTATTTTGAATGGTGAGACTGAAACACTTAAATCTTAAATGAACTTTGTTCCTTATTGAAAACGTATTGAGAAGAGGGGGGAGTGGGGTGGTGAGAGAAGTGTATTCAACAAGGATGCTATGACCCTGTGTACATTAAAAATCGTTGCTTAGGAATATTACTCAATGCAAATGATATAAAGAGATGAAACGCAAGAAAACAGCCACATTTTGGTTGACCCTTGTCAATGAGTTGTATTTTAAAGAAATATACAATGGAATGCCAAAACTTGGTGGAGGGGCAGAAAGGGGGGAGAGGATGAAACGTTAGAGTTTTCTGCCTTCATAAGAAGGAGTCCTTCGTGTTAAAGTAGACATCAATAAAGTGAAGTAAAATTAGAGACGATGGCTTTAGGAAAACGAACATGCTAACATGAATTTAGAACTCGCAAGTACTCTATCAATATCAATACCAACAAGTGTCCCTATAGTTATGGAGCAGGAATATGTACCTCAGCATCCACGATGTATTCAGGTGTTGAACTGAATTTTTCAACGGCATTTCGTGCCTCTTTGCATCCTACAAAAACAAATACAGATGATTGTATATGACTGGAATAGTGGAACACACACAGTGTGTAACAAAACAACAGCAATCCTTTCATTTTGAAGCAAACACTTACAATTATCATACCATTCTTTCCACACTCCTCAAATCATAATACAAATTCTAAATTTGTACGTCATGTAAGCTAGAACAATGCAGCGAAATTCCACTTTACGTGGTACTATCAATCAGTTCCATTACGAATGGTTCATGAAGCCACAGAGCAACGAATATTTATCGTGTTTGGTTACAGTAAGGGAACTTACACTGTTTACTAGTAGACTATATTGAAAATGTCTTTGAAGACTACACAAATTTCAGCTACTGTCCAATGCAAATCCCGAACACAAAACTCCTTTAAATTGTGTTCAGCCTCCTAGGGGATAATTTACTGCTGAATAGTGCAAGTTGTAAACATTTTGTGATTTTGAATTCATTCCAAAGTCATCTTCAGAAAATTGGAATATTTTGTGATATCTAAATGTTGAAGAATTTTATACACCCTTTGTATTACAAAGAGAATCAACCTTTTTGAAAAAGTGTTCTTTAAATGGACTTATTTGTTCCAAAAGGTTCCATAAAGTCTAACTATTGTTATTATTGTAAAAAAAGAATTGGCACGAACTATTTTTCACCATTATTTTTCTAGAAGATTATGCTTGGAATCTAATTTTGTTAAATGATATTTTTGAAGATAAATTTCCCAGAAGCACTCAAAGCAATTGATGTAACTAACCATGAGCTAGCTTGTAGCAGTTGTCCTTTCCTGACTTTTTTGCATCACAGAGCGCCCAAACACATTCTTCACTTGGTGGTAAGTTGCCAAAAACTGTGGGATCACCTGGAATATAAAAAATATTCTCAACGATAACTCAGTCATGCACGGTTTTTGGAAGACTATCTTGAAATAATTTGGCTCCAAAGGGGTTACCGTAAAAACTGATACCATTTTTTACGGTAACCCTCATCAGACTCCTCTTCACCAGACCCTTCGTCTGGCATGGACAACAACCTTCTTCCCGTCACCAAATGCGACGGAGTTAGTGGTTCACTACCCACCTCGTCGAACGTATAAGTCAATGGCCTAGAATTTAATGTTGCCTCAACTTCTACCATCACTGTCAGAAGTTCGTCAAATGTCAACCTAGCATTTCCTAATACCTTTTTCAAGCACCTTTTCACTGACCGAACCATCCTTTCAAAAAATCCACCCCACCAGGGAGCTCTTTCTAGATTGAATTTCCACTCTATCCTATTGTTTCCCAAATACCCTTGGACACTTGCATTATTATAGAGGTTTTCTAAAGCCTTGACTGTTGCTTTGAATGTTTTTGCATTGTCTGATACCATAATGATGGGGTCGCCCCTTCTAGCTGAAAATCGTCTAAGACATTTCATGAATTCATCCGCAGACAAATCTTTAACTAGATCTAAATGTAAGGCTCTAGTTACGCAACAAGAAAACAATGTGATGTATGCTTTGTCTGTCCCCCCTGATGTATTCTTCACATATAGTGGCCAGCAAAATCTACCCCTGTCTTCAAAAATGGTTCCGCTTGCTCTATTCTGAATGCCAGAAGGTTTGCTTTGTTAGGTCTATTATATGGTTTACCCTCTAATTTCTTACACACGACACATTTGTTGAAAATTGATTTTACCTTCTGTCTGCTTTGTGGAATCCAGAACCTTGACCTTATCTCTGCTAAAGTTGCCCTAATTCCGCTATGATGTACCTTTTTGTGGCAATGCTCAACTATTAATTCCGTGAATCTACCTTCCTTTGGTAATAAGATTGGAAACTTCGTTTCCTCTTCCAAGTCTGATTCTGCTAGCCTACCCTGACATTTTAGTAACCCTTCATCTTCTACTACCTTGAGTTGTACCCCTAACTGCTTGAACTTATCCTCCTTCTTCAGCCTGTCTTGTGAAGCCTTCAACCAAAGTTTTTCTGCTTTACTTATCTCCTGACTATCTAATTCCGTGAAGGTTAAATCTTCGTGCTTCCCTTTGATCCTAGCGATCAAATTCCTGACAAATCTTGTGACCAATGCCGTTACACGGAATAATTTCTTAACCCTACTGTACCTCTCTATAGAGATCAGCTTCTGAATACCTATTTCTTCGTTAGTATGTACTACTAATAGTGCCGTCAGCTTTTCTTCTTCTTCAGTTACGCCTACCTCTGATTGCGGCCATTCTCTTTCTACGCTACTCAGCCAACTTGGTCCTGTCCACCAAAGTGATTGCTTTTGTATCTTCGACTCAAACACTCCCCTGCTTCCTAAATCGGCGGGATTTTCTATTCCTGGACAATGTCCCCACTTCTCCTTCTGTGTTATTGCTAAGATTTCATCTACTCTATGTCTAACAAACTGTTTCCACTCACCGCGATTCTGAATCCAATATAATGCTGTAATACTATCTAATCAGTACCTTGCTTCTATTTTCCCTACTTGGCCTACTAAAGCTTTCCGCACAGATTCCATTAACTTTGCTAACATCAGCGCGGACATCAATTCTAAGCGCAGTATAGTAAATTCTTCAGCGGCGCAACTCTAGTTTTTGCTGTTAACAATTTCACAAAGACTCCAACAGTCGTGCGACAAACAAAATATACTAGCGCGCAATACGCTTTCTCGCTTGCATCACCAAACCCGTGAAGTTCAAAAGATTGAATTTTGCCCTTCACACCACTATAGATGCATCTATTTAGCTTAATAGTCTTAACACGGTTTAGATCTTCAATCCATTCAGTGTATAGACCGGCGTGCTTTCCGCTTATCTCGTCATCCCAATCAATCTTTTCTACGCACAACTGTTGAAACAAGATTTTCATCAAAACTATTATGCAGCTAATTAATCCTAGCGGATCAAATATCTTTGCTAGTGCACTCAGCAGGTTTCGTTTAGTTAGCTTCTTGTCACCCAAGTCTACAACAAACTTTTGTAGGTCGAACATGAACAGATTATTGTCACAATCCCAGCCTATACCTAAAACTTTTGTGTAATCATCGTTATTTTGGATTCCCAAACTCCATTGTGTGAATGTTTCATCGTCTGGATCTGTCGCCTGCACGATATTTTTCTTGCATTCACGCTGTTCTATATGCGCTCGCACGTTTCCGTCATTTGTCATCCATTTCCTTAATATAAACCCAACTTGAGGCATTCTAAATTTCGCCTTTTCATATAAATCGATCGTTTCGTGTGCGCTTTTGCCCCCCGAAACTAAGTCATCAACGTAAAATCCTTCATTCAATTTTTGAGCAAGCACTGGATGTGATTCTGCAAATTGCGCTATGTGATGCCTAAGCGTGGCGTTGAGTAAAAATGGCGAGGCATTTAATCCAAACACTACTCTGCAAAACCTGTAAACAACAACCTCTAAATTAGCATTTGTCGCATCTCTAACCCACAGAAATCTTAAATAGTCCCTGTCTGCTTTGTCTACTTTACGTTCAAAAATGCTTTCTCTATGTCTCCTACCAAGGCCACTCTATTCTCCCTAAATCTAACTAATATATCAAACAACAACGGTGTTAATCATGCTCCTACATGAAGACAGTCATTCAAAAAAGTCCCTTTCTTACCATCCTTTGATGATGCATCATACACTATTCTTAGCTTAGTTGTTTTGGCTTCTTTACGTATAACCGCTTGATGGGGAAGATAATGAACATTCGTCCCCGGTTCTGACTCGTCAACCCTTTAAATGACTCCCGTTTTTAGTTGATTCCTGATAATTTTATCATATTCCTTTAACAAATCAGGATCATTTGACAAGCGCTTAATTTGTCCTTTCATGCGTGCTAAACTATTGGCATAGTTACTTGGTAAATGCCCATGACCCTGCTTCCTCGGCAATTTAACAGAGTACTTATGCCCATTAAACTCAATTTTATCTAACAAGGCTTCGTGCACATTGACAGTTTCCCTGACCCCAAGTGTTTCTAAATCCCACAACTTGTTCACCTGCCTGTTTATGCTGTTTTTCTGCGTTGCAGTCTGCGAAACTAAATTAACATGTGCATTTTTGATTTTCGAGCTCCCGTCCAGTGGACCGCTTGCAACCCATCCTAAACAAGTGTCAATCGCAACTGGTTCATCCTTTTTGCCCCATAATATTTCTCCTTTCTGAAAAGCCCAAAGTTTATCTGCTCCTATCAAAACATCCACTTCCAACATCTGTTGCTTTAAACATATATCTGACAAAAACAAATTTTTCGAATGAGAATATTGCTCCTTAGCGACCTCAATATGCTCATTTTTTACCGTACAAATACGTGGAACTACTAATGCCTCTTAACGAATTTGAGATGACAGAGGTCATCACCTCTGTCATCTAACCTTCATTTGTTTCACCAACCAAAAGTGTTGACCTCTAACCATTCACGCCTTGCTACATTAAGCTTTGCAAGAGGAGATTATTTTAAAGTCGTCTAAGTTGGGGGTGTGTTCAGTTGCGTTAATGTGAGCAAGAATGCTTGATGATGCAGGGTGGGAAACTTGGTTGCCTGTAAGGGGGGATATTCCCAAGTACTCCGAAAATCTGGTGTGTAGATGACGTGTGGTTTGACCCACATACGAAGCGTTGCAGCTTCGACACTTGAATAAATAGACTACACCAGATCTCAGAGGCTTGGGAATTTTATCCTTAAAGGGGAAGAAAGAAGAGATACGTTGAGAAGGGCGGAAAACAAATTTAATGGATATATGTGGGAAGGCTGCAGCACAAAGGTTATTGATTTGTGTGCGAATTTGAAGGGAGTGTATGCCGGTGAAAGGAAGACAGAAATAGATGGGCTCTGAGATCTGGTGTAGTCTATTTATTCAAGTGTCGAAGCTGCAACGCTTCGTATGTGGGTCAAACCACACGTCATCTACACACCAGATTTTCGGAGCACTTGGGAATATCCCCCCTTACAGGCAACCAAGTTTCCCACCCTGCATCATCAAGCATTCTTGCTCACATTAACGCAACTGGACACACCCCCAACGACTTTAAAATAATCTCCTTTCCAACGATACTTATGAACTCTCCATCCATGAAAGCCTTCTAATCAATAAACACAAGCCTTCACTTAATGTGCAAGGAAACTCCATTCCACTTAACCTCTTTTAATTTCTCTTCATTTCACTTCCAAACTTCCTTATCATGTACCCATTCCATACCGCTTCCTTTAGTAGTAATTTAACACCTTTTT